AGGTACTTGTTTCACCCACCACTTCTCAAAATATTCGAAGAGCGGTTCTAATTCTACCAGAATTTGTTCATTTAGCTCTTCATGAGTTTGTTCAATGTCTTGTACATGTAATAATGGTAATGCCATTAGCTGTCTGCACAAAGGTCGTATTTCTTTATCATTTTTACAGGGGCGTACCGACCGGAGGGGGAAGGGCGTGGGGCGTAACGTCCCCCTGCTTTTGGAAATTAGCATTGATTTTCTGGTTTGCGCCCCCCCCCCCCCCCCCCCCCCGGTCTAGGTTCCTCGGTACGCCCCTGCATTTTTATATAATGTGCTCAGTCCCAATGTCTGAATTTGACGATACAGACAATGAGTATAATGAAATAGCAGCCTGAATGTTGCGCAGTCGGAAACTAAAAGAAATAAAGATATAGTAAGATCGAACCGATATAAAACGTGTCATTTACATGTGAAGCGACTGTTTTGATCAGAGCTTTTTCATAATCAGACATAATGTGTGTTGGTTGAGATTTGAGATTGAGACGTTGAGCAACGATGTCTAATAGATTGAAGATGTGTTTGTATATTGGAACACTTCGACATGACAATAAACCGATGACACACGGAAAATCTTTAAACAAACAATGAACGATTAAATAACTTTTCGAAAAACTATAGAAATGTCTTACTGTAGCCATATTTGATCCAGTGTAAAGAGGACACTTGATCAAAGTGAGGTACGCAGGCAGAAAATATTCCGTCGATCATAATATGTGTAGCTGTAAAAAGCATACGTAGTTGCCGAGAGTTGAGAACAGAATAACACTCTTTTGACGAACAAGTGAATCATTAAAAAGAAATGGAGTATCATCAATTGTAATTGAATAGTTATCGGGCACATCAAAGCTTGATGATCTTGGTAATGATGGTATTGTTTGTCGCCGTCGACGATTGAGGGATGATTCTAAAGTATGAATAAAAGCAACATAGGAGAAATAAACAAATAGGAACACTCCCTTGCTTTGCCTCCCGAAGGAACCAGAGCGAGAGTAGCTTCACTAATATTAGCCGAAGCCAATTCATTATCGTAGATTCTTCCGATTGCAGTCGTTTCTTTTAAGATCCTTTCTTTTAATTTCTCTTTAAACACAGTCACTTCGATATTTTCAGGTATGGACAAGTGAGAGTCGTGATCGCCTGACTTCCCTATGTACTGATCATTGTTATTGGTATGGATATAAGCCGAGTACATTCGATCCTTACAACGCCAATACTTGATCTTTGGTCGAGTTTTGTTTAGTTGATTTATGAATCCATCACAGATCAAGATCGGCTTGTGTTTGTTGCTGGTCAAAAGTTAAGAATAGGAGTGTTCGACATGAAAAAAAATACGAGACGCTAATCACGTTAGACGAATGAAGTGAAATGATATGTCGATTGTACTAGTATGATGATGTGCACACAAATGACGGTTATTAGAGAAAAGAGAGAATTTCGTCAGTCGAGAGAGAAAGAAACAAGACGCATTAAATTCGATACCCAGGCCGTTTGTAGAAAGAAAGCATAAAAAGAAAAGAAAATACACGATGGTATGCTATATCACTATTTTATTGTGATAGATATTTCGACCATTTTTGTCGATATTTTGCATATCGACAATCTTTGCATTGACACGTCGCATTCAACATATTTCTGTCGACGTTTTCATTCCCCACATTCTTCTATCGACATTTTTCTATCAACATTTTCACGGTCTATGTTTTCATTGTCGACATTTGTTCTTGTCGACGTTTTGCCTGTCGACATTTTTTTTTCGACATTTCGACATCTTGCCGAAACATTTTTTTAATTGAGTTGTTATGTTCTAAGAAACTAGTCTACTGATTATTTTCTTAAATGCTTGAACCGTTGAGTGATTGTTTATATATTTATTTTTTCTTTAACTTTTATTTTTTTTATATTATGTCATTGATTATTTGTCAAATATGTAAGTGGTTGATAGGAATAAAGCAGCACTTTGTTTCTTTGAATACAAGCTTGTTAAGTAATCTCTGCATAGTTTTTGTGTGAATGTCCACATAATTTATCATTGATTTTGTGGTCATTCCTTGTTCTCAATAAGAAACTGTGGACAGTCGTATATTTTTATACTAGCAGGGACTCCAGGACTTCAAAGAAAACTAGAGTCTCGGCATCTGTCATTTCCCATTTTGGGTAGCAATGGACGGTGGTAGGAAGTGGCTAGGCCGATTGGTGTATTGGTGAATAGTGGTCTGCTGTTGGTAGGAGAAGGAGAGAATCAGGATATAGGTATTGTTCAGAGATGAATCCGTTATTGCTTACGAATCAGTTCAGTGTGATCGCAATACGGGTTTCCCATTGACCGGTCTGGCATATAAAGACAAATGCCGATATCAGTTCTGAAATATCCAGACGAATCTATCTCTATTGTAACTCATCAAAAGACGTCAACAGAAATTCATCCACCAACTGAAACTCATACAAGTACTTAGCCGCCAACATTCACACCGACAACCTACTAGGAACTACGTTAGCAGACAAAACAACACACACTCATATTCACAGCATTATCCGCACGAACACCCACACCCATCCAGATCGACACGCACACTCAGACCCACATCTGCACCGGCACCAAAGAACCTACAGCTGCATTTGCAAGCATATACATACCCATTGCAGATGCGGACAGGTAGTCACAGATACAACCATACCCCGCACCCGCGTGTATATCGAGATCCATCAATACCCACACTAACATTCACACACTCTACCAATTTGACACTCATACCACAACCAAACAGCCTACAGCTGTACAAATACACACATGCGCATTCACTCGACGCTCGCATCTACAACCATATCGACACCAAAAGCAAAACCACAGGCATATCCATATCCATGAGCCATATCCATATGCGAATCAACACTCACACCCACATGTACACTCACCCTCAGTACCATATTCATACCACACACTCATTTCTTCAGTACCTTCGCGACAAAACGCGCCTACAAACCATCCGGCAAAGATACGACGGTAATCAACCGCACTTTAGCCGCTTACGATCGTCAAGGACTTTATCGAGATTTGTATACGTTCGTCAACGGCTGTTATAAAATTCGATCTGGGTATATTCTGTCTTTTTATTGCATCTATCTCACTATTGACAAACATAATTACGATAATGTCAATCCCACATACTTCAACTGTTATTGACATTGATAAAGATCAATGTGTTTTCTTAAGCCTAGTCTCTTCATATTTGAGATAAGAGAAAAAAATATTCGTATATAAGCGCATATCTATGATATAGTGTCTTGATCGTCTATTCACTCCAGAAAACGGATTGTTCGTCGCCATCTGTCTCAATTGTCAGTGAGGTTATTGTAGCTTGAATCGGACTGAAATATCTTTCAGTAAGTTGCATCTTACGTTAGATCTAAATGACTTTGTATTTAACTTTAGAAATAAATATGTCAATCATTTTCGAGTTAAAACTTTCTTAGACCAGCTTTTTGTAATGAGCTTTGAAGTTTATAGCTACAAAATGAGCTCTTTGCTCCTTTCAAAAACAGTGATAAAAGAATTAACGCTTTTCGATTATGTTCGTAGTGTTCAAGTCATGTTAGACATCTGAATTCAGTAGAAATTACAGTGGCTTTTTTATGGCCTTACGTTGTATATGTATCACATCTACTTCCTTCAACACTTTTTGGCTATCTGATGATACATGCCTGTTACCCAGAGCTCTGTTAATGCTTCAAATGTCAATACCTATTTGTCTTCAGTTCTCACTAGATATAGCTTTACAATCAATGAGCTTTGGTTTTGTCGAACGTCATCCTGATTTTCACTCCAAAACGTCAATATCATGCTAATTTATTCGCAATCTATGAGTATTATTAGTTGCGGAAGCATGATATCTTTTTTTGGTTAGCATTCTGAAGGTATCTTGATAATGACCCTGGTCAAAAAATACGGATGGTTTCCGGCAGAAAACCTCAGAAAATAGGTAGGGCTGATGATCTTTTAGTATCTGAGACAAATGTGAAGGCTTTTCTCAGATCTAGCTATAATAAAAAGCTTACAAATAGTTCTGTCTCATCATCAGTTTATTTTTGAAATTCCAGCTGAAAAGTCTGCTTTGACAGATATTGCTCATAGATGGCGTACAAATTGTCGCTGTATCGTCATTTTTAGTATGAGGTCAAGTAAAGCGTCACGATGATGAAATAGCTGAAAGGATCAATAAGGTAAAACAGAGGAAAGCACTAATGACACAGTTAGACCTTGCATCATCAGCTGTTGTCGAGTCTTTCATAGAGCTCTGCGTCAATTCTGCCAAATATGGAAACAATCCTGCGTATACGAATGGTCAAATACTAATTAAAAGCATTCGTTTTCTAATTCACAATAACATACTGAAAAAAGATAATATATGTCAGAGAAACTTCTCAGCGTTGATTGATACCTAACCATTTTCTCTTTCATCTTGTATAGATTTTCATTAAAGAAGACAGATATCATACATCGATAGTGACAATGAGAGACAGCAGCTATCGGTTTGAAATGTCGTTTCTTTTCGTTAATATACTTCTATGAGAACATGTTGACACAAATTTCGTTTTAACGTTTTCTCTGGTTTTTTGTTAGTTTTATCTTGGTCGTTGTTCTCAACCCTCTAGTAGGATCACCTTGAAGAGAACGAAACAGATGGCATATAGTAGAGATAGTGACAGCGAGTTATAATAATCCTACGTTTCAGTTTTTCTCTGTCTGTCTGAATTGCATTGTTATGACGAACAGTTGACATTTTTTAAACGTTTTCTTTTATTAATACACTTTTAGAACAAAAATGTCCTTGGAATCACTGGCCATTAGTAAAGAAAATAAAACAAAATGTGCTAATTCCATTAGCAAATGTCGATCTCTTCGAGATCTCTCTAGCCACGATGTTTATCATCTTTCTACAATGTTCGTCAACATTCAAGAGATGAAAAATAATTTCAATGAAGAGCATAAGCACAAAAAACATGCACTAACTGAATTGAATGAACAGTTGCGTCTTCTTGTTGGTCGTGCTCAACAATTGGAATTACAAAACGAAAAATATACTGCAGAACTGGCTAAATTGCGACGAAAATCGTTCATTATTAGTACAACTGGTACACAAAATGATGAACGTAATCGTATACAGGCTGATCTTATGACAGTTAATTACGAGAAAGTTTGCTACGAGTCGAATATCGAACGTTGTCAACTACAACTTGGAATGTATGAGCAATCGATCCTAGCAGAAAAGCAATGGATTGATGAAAAACGATTGAAATTAGAACAAGAATTGATTGAATCTGCATCTACTCTAGCTAAATTATGTACATCGTATGCAGAAGTGTCAAAGAAACTTGGAACTTCTCGTGCAGCGTGTGAAGATACATTTCAACAGTATATAAGAGTGACCAATGATTGGTCTTTTTCCAAGGTAAAAACAAATGAATCGAAGATCACTGTACAAATGGTCAAGAGTCAAGCTGAATTTCGCAAGACTTTATATTCGTATGTACTATTTTGAGTAATGATTGCTCGTTTTCTTCTATTCATAGAAGAATTTTTCTTTTTGCTTCTAGCAAATTCGATGTATTTTCAATGGAAATGTCCGATTTCGCTGAATTTTGGACACATGAATGGGAAGACATTATCAAGAAAATACGCCATGATTTCGAACAAATATATGCAACAATTCATCGTGAAGTAAGTTGTTATTATGAAAAGAAAAACAAGGAACTACAGATCGAAGCAGAACAAGTCGTGCGCTATCAACAAGTTGAAATGGAAGAAATTTTAAGGATTCAACAGAGACTTCAGAGCGAATATGAAAAAGTACAAAGGGAACATTCCTATGAAAAAGAAATTCTACTGAAAACCGAAGCAACTTATTGTGAGTGGAATGTGACATGTCGTTTTCTATTAGTTCTTCTTTTAAAAAAAAACGTTTCTTTTTGATTTGTTATAGCTAAATTAGAATCCGAATTCCAAGCCATTCAAATTCAACATGAGGAACGATTCGAAGCACAGTCAAAGGATCTGCATTATTTACAGGAAAGCATTATGACTATGGTGAGTAGTCTCGAAGAAATGCAACAAAGGTAAGAAAATTTGTTGCACATTGAAACATAGATTTCGATTTCTGCTTACACAATATTTCTAGAAAAATCGACTTAGAGACTGAAATTATTATTTATCGTTATCTATTGGGCGAAAGTAAATTACTTGGACAGATAGAGATTAACTCTTCTTCGCTAGTTCGAACTACAACAACACGAACATTTGCTGTAGAAAGCACGTATCAAGGATCGATTAACATCGGTAAGCATTGAGTTGAAAAAGCAAAAGTGAGAGAGTCTGATTGATTGTTTTTTCTCTTTTTTTTGGATAAACAGAGTGTCCTCTCGATAGCACACACATTTGTTTGATAAACCATTCGACAAGTAAAGTTATCGATATTTCGAGATGGAAGTTAACACGACGTGTTGATTCAAAGGTAGTACTCCAGTATACACTACCTGGTGGACTCCGACTTCACCCAGGTACTCAATTGAAGGTCTATTCGAAGCTAGGTGCTGCAGCTGCTCAGATATCATCGAGTGAAAGTTTTGTTGCGTCATCTTCACATCAGAAACTTGTCCTTAACGGTGTAATTTCAATGGGTACGTAATTGTATCAAGCTAGTCTACTTATTAATTTCTTATACGGCTATCTAGGTATTGGTGATAAGATGGAAACACTATTGGTTGATGCACATGACCAAGAAATAGCATCATACATACAAACGGCAGAAGCTGATTCAACATTATATGATTGATTACAACAATATCAACGAATTGTGTTTGAGAACTAGACTGACAACTCGATTTTAATTATTCCTTTAGCCTTCTAGAATATTTTAATAGAAGTTTTTAGATTTTTGTCTAGTACTGAACTACTAAATTTATCAAAGAGTTTTTGAGCATGGTTTTTTTAATCGTTTAACAGATTCGTCGGCGACAGCAGTACTCCTTTTTTTTACCAGATGCTTCTACAAATCTCTAGAGGCTAGTTGTATTTCTGAGAACACATTGATTTAAATCCAAAGAATATCGGCAATTTCATATCAATCTACACATCTTTTCTTGTCAAATGGTCATTGCTGATCTCTATTCTTGTTGATCTTTCATTTCCTTCATAACAAACAAAAATTCGAATATAAGCTCTTCGTCACCAGTCTGACATAGTTTTGAAGTATTATGGTAAAAATATATTCACGGATAAGCCTAAAGTCATGTAATTAGCTTGTTCCAGTGGTACATGTTTGATTAAAATGAATCTCAAGAAGACATTAGTTACACTATTCTTATATTGTCTGCTCAAAATCATAGCATTACGATGTATCATCAATGATAAATTGTAAACACATTACAAAATTAGCACAAAGTATCGTGTACAATCCATTGATTTCGGTTAAAGCTAAATCATAAATATATATGATTTACGAGTTTTGATATATTAAAGCTAATCTTTCTCTATTATGATACTACTTATGTTTTAGAAGACATCGTAATTAATTAGTATCATCCTAACATAATTGATAAATCTCAGAAAGACTGTTGAAATACACTGCTGAAATATTCATTTAATAATATATGAAACGGATGTAAATAATTTTCATATTCTGATGTTATTATACCGGAATTGTAATAAATACAGAAAAATTCAAATATCTCTATCTAGGTACGTCAACAGCAGCCTATATTTTAAATCTGTTAGTTTTGCACTGAAGCCTTTAACTTGATCCAAATATATGTAATCTTATTAGATACAAAAACAAACCCTTCGATTTTAGGAGAAGTGTTCAACATAGTG